ATAGAAAGATGGTCTCTCTTCAGCTAGAGGGGCCAAAAACTTTGACAAGGAAGAAGCTAGCAGCTGCTGCAAGGCACAGCTAGCCTGCAAGCTAGAGAGACAGAGCCTTCAAACAAGACAGCTACTCACTCCTCTGCCAGTGTCCCCGATGAAGACAGCAACCCCCAAGTGAGATGACAGGCTCTCCAAGTGTGTGTGTCATCCCCGCTTCACAGCAAGAATGGCTGTTTCAAGTTATGTGCCCCTATGCTTCTACCCCAAGGTCAAACCTTAAGTCTCCAAGTCACAGCACCCCTTTCCCAGTTTCTTTTGCAGGAGAACACCTAAGAGTCTACCGCAAGTAATAACCAGCCTTTCCCGAGGGAAGCACTGTGCACCTCACCTCCACGGGTGGGATTCATACCCGCTGCCCCATCTCCAGAGGGCTAGCAAACCTCTCCTCTCCTGCTGACCCTCCCTGGCCATGCCAAAGCCTGTAGACCTGTGCCTTATTGAAAGCAGCAATTGGCTTCACAGCAGGGCAACTTAAGCAAAGCCTGCAGTGGGAAAAGACATGACGGTGGGGTTAAAAAAAGAAGCCCAAGCAAATTGTCTGGTGTCTGACCATCAATCAGTAAACCAGCCAAGAGCCTGCGTCCAGCTTCCTACAGACAAGGGACACAAAATGGATTCCAGCAGCCCTGAAAGGTACAGAGTGGTTGGAGATTTGTCAGGGCAGCCACAGGCTCTGCTAGCTTCACTTATGATCTTGATGCTGAGCTGTGGCACACCTCTGGTAAAAAGCAGCTCCTGTCAGCTGTGATTTTTACCCATTAAAAGAAGAGTATCCTACTGCCATGCTGGCTGTGCATCCGGACCCGTGGAGGAAAGCTACTATGTCCAAATACCATTTTGCCACTCAGGGCTGCACAGTGTGACAGCACTTTAAACACAGCTTGGAAAACCCTTGGCTCACAGCCCTGCTCTGACTCTGCCCAGTTCCTTCTCCCTTCCACCCAGTCTTGCTACCCCAGAACAGACACAGCCTGTTGGTAACCCTGCCTATGACCCTCTACATCTTCACATCAGGAGAACGATGTTCAGGCCAACAGCACTCTCATTGCGTTAGTACAAAAAACCCATTAAAACCTTTCCAGATATAGTCAGAGGCACAAGCCCTCCATGAAGCCAATCAAGTAAAATACACACCAGGCCACCCTCTTTTCTGTAAAGGGCATAAAAGAGAACAATTATCAGTGTGCAACTGATTTTTCCAAGTATCCTACCTCTTCAATGAAACATCCTATCTCCTCCCACAATTTCCCCAGCAACTTTCCAAAATAAACATAAATAGAGAAAATAAAACATCCTCGAGATAAAATTTTCAGCCAGATTGGATGGATTTGGGGGCAGCTTGTAAAGACAGAGCTTGAAAGTGTTTGTCAGGGAATTCCAGCCTGGTTTTTTTAATGTGTGGAGACCAAACGGCAAGTCGTCCCTTTGCCCCAGGATTCAAGATCTCAGCAAGGAAAATGTCAGGAAATGAGAACCAAAGGAGAAATATTTTCTAGGGTCATATTTTAATTTATTTATTTTTATACATACATATATATATCTATATCTCCTCTCCTACTCACTGCTCTTTCCAGACTAGTTCTTTGTCCCTGCCACCTGCTTTTGTCCTCGTCTTTATTAAGCAGCATCAGCCGCTTTTCGATTATTCCTCCTGGGCTGTTAATGCCTTCCTCTGCCTGCAGATCTCCCCTGCTGGTTTAAGCAAGGTGCTATCTTCCTGTTCTCCAAGAGCCACCTCTGAGGCTGCCCTGCAGACAGACTCCCTCTGCGTTCTCAGGGTAGCCCTTCACCTCCCTGTGCTCTGTGTCTTCCTCTGTAAAACGGGAAGAGCACCTCCTCTGAGTGTTGGGGAAAAAAACAGTGTTAATAAGCCTGAGGCTCCTGGGTAGCCTGGAAGGAAGCATCTGCCCAGAGATATCCCATAGGGGCCAGGAGAGATGAATTAGCAGGCCTGTTGCTGTCTGCCTGTGTCCACTCTTCCCTCTGGGTCCAGTTTTGCACTTGGTTTGTAGCTGTGTGTGGGTCCCCTGTGCAGTGGGATGCTCTCCTGGGCTCTGTGGGAAGGAGGAACAGAAAGCTTCAAGGGAGCAGAGGCAAGTCAGCAACCCCATATTCTTGCACCCATCCAGGGATGAAGAGGTGGGAGACATCCCTGGGAGTGTGTGTGTAGTAAGGCTGAGGTGAATACAGGTTGTGGACCTGGGTGATTTGGACATGGTCCTAGACAGGAGGTGAGCAGATTAGTTTGGGCTGGAGACCCACCCTGGCACGCTCCGTCAGTCAGCTGGGTGCCTTGTCCTGGCTGGTGAAGGGTGGTAAAAGGAGAGTCTCCATCCAGAGGTACAGTTCTTGAACTGCTGACTCTAGAGGGAGCTGAACCCTAGTGCCGAGCAGATGCTCAGCTCTTAAAACCACCACATCTCAGGAAAGGGAGCCTAACCCACGTGTTTCCCAGGTCTTGGCTGCTTATCTCAAAAGCAAGATTTAACCACCTGTCCCTCCTGCCCAGTGTTCCCCACCTTCTCTGTTTCCCCAGGAGCTCCTTGCAGCAGCAAATCTCACCTCTATTAATCAGCCAGGTTTCCTTAGGAAGCCAGGCATATGAATTCAGTTTCCACCTCTGCCTGCCTTTTCAGATTGCTCTCCCTAATTTCAGTTAAAATCACTAGAGGAATAGAGATAGCAGAGAAAGCTAAGTTCCTACAAGCTGCCTGAAAATAGCTGGAGAGATAGCACTCACACCCTTGGTGAGAGAAAAGCCAGTCAGTGAGCTCAGCCTATATTGGATGCCAGATTCCCAATGGCACAGCACACTGAGCACCCTGCAGCAGACCCAGTATTTGCACAGCTGTGGGCACCAATGTCCATGATCTGGGAGTACATGTAGATCACGGCACCCTGAGACTGAACAGAGCTCCAGGTTTTTCACTGTACTGGTTACAAGGAGAGCCAGTATTGCATGCCATGTGTGTTGTCTATGACCAGCCTGTTGGTTGGTTGCCCAGTGATGTTCATGCCTGGGGCACACTAGGCTTTATTATAGGATCTGAGTTTCATTAGGATGATGGAGAAGAGTGGCTTTTCCCTGGTAAGCCAGCAGGACTGTATCCCCCCCTCAAAAAAATATCTCCAGCAGAAAACCACATTCTGTCCTAGGTGTAAGACTGGAACATTGCAACCCAGACAATGCTGAGCAGATCAGGACAATACTAAAGGCCCAAACAGGCAGAGAAATGGCTGTGCCTTTATGGCATCATGCAAGGTGCTGTGAAGACTCCCAAGAACTCCAACATGAGCCAGCTTCATGCTTTGCCATGTACAGAAGTGCCAGGAGAGCAAACTACGTACAGCCTGGCCAGCTGCAGAACAGTGAATATTGAACTCTCGGGAGCAGTTCACAGCCAGAAGATCACAAAAAGCTTAGGGAAAGTGGGGGAGAGAGAAGCAAGCAAAGTTTTATCAGCTTAAAAGTGCGTTACTCAGTGTTGGCGTTCAGGGATGCTGAGCACAAAGAGTACCTCCAGTCTCCTCAAACATCTGCAACACAAACCCTGCTACAGAGGAAGCTTTGAGCAGCGTGGTTCCCCAGCACTGGCTTAGGAGCTGTTTATGCCTCCAGAGAAGCAAAGCTGGTGGGGTATAAGAGGAGTTAGGCAGTGCATCAACTTTCCTGGGGAGACAGTGGTGGGGGTTCATGATAATGGCTCTAGAAATGCTGAGTTATTTCCCTATTTGGGCTAAATACCTCTGCTGGAAAATGGGCAAAGCTGCTATTGAAGAACCAATCAGAAGGAAAAGGGGAGAAAGAAACATTTATCAGATGCACCCAGAGGAACACAAATGCCTTTCTTTGGTGATGTCCACTGCCCCAGCCAAAGTGATATAGCACAGCTCTTTTTTCCCTGGCCGCCATCAACATGCAAGTGTCCAAGCTTCCCTTTTCTAAATAAGTGTGCACCTCTTCCCTTTGTGCTGGTGAGAAAAAGCACATGAATGCTTGGGCAGGTGTTGGGAGAGTGCGCAGAGAACCCCAGCCTGTCTCAGCCCCCATTTCCATTGCCTGGCTCGTGGATGTCCAACGTCTGGGACTGGAGACACAGCATCCTGCGAAGCGCAAGCAGAGGAGCCCTGAAATCACTCTCACCCACATGCCTGTGACCTTGTGGTTTTACTACAGCTTTCATTTTTAGACTCCAGTTCTCCCTAGTGCTTGCTGCATTTCTGCAACGTTTTGGCAGTTGGCTCTCGCCCTGGAGACAGAGCTGAGTGTGGGGAAGCAACAAGGCTACGGTTAAAGAATTAAACTCTAGATGACAGAAGAGCCCCAGCCATGCTTCCACCTAGACAAAGCCTACGTGATGAGTGCAGTTTAATGCCAGCCCTTAACAACACATGCTGGTCGGGACGAAAACGGGAATTTCATCGTGGCTGCAGGTGGCTCCGGCCGCTCAGCTCGGAAACCGTTTCAAGGCAGAAAGCCCGGGGCTGGAGAAAAAGCAGCCCTGCCCGGAGGCACGAACAGCCACGCCGGGCGGAGGCACCGCTCTCCGCCGCGTCGTGCTGGCGAAGATGCCCGTAAGCCCCCCGAGGGGAGCCGCTTTGCTCCCGCATCCTTCCCATCCCCACCTGCCCAGCAATGCCCGGCCCCAGGGGTAGAGGAGGAGGCAGCCCCCCGTCGCAGCCGCGCCTCCTGTCGCGACATATTGCGATTGGCCGGCGGGGGAGGGGGGCGAGCCCCACCGTCTTCCCAAAGGTGCCATGCCTGGGCTGGAAAACGCATTCCCGAGGCCGGAGGGAGCGGGAAGCATCCTACCCCCTCCTCCCCATCATCTCCCACACGGCTCCTGGCCCCCCATCCCTCCTCCCTCCATCCTCCCCGACACCACGGACCCCAGTGTAGAAACCGGTGTCGGGGCCGGGCTGGGTCCGGCCGGTCGCGGTCCTACCTGTCGGAGGGCGGGGGGTGCAGGAGCGGGCGCCCGGGGGCCGGCTCAGCAGCGGCGAGGCATCGCGGTGGGACGAGGGGCGGGTGCCGGAGCCCCGGTGCGCGGCTGCGGCGCGGCGGCGGCGGGCGGGAGAGAGGGAGGGAGAGAAGGAGGAAGGGAGGGATGGAGGGAGAGATGGAGGGAGCGCGCGCGCACGCACACACACAGCCCCGGGGATGCGCTCAGCCGGCCCGCCCCGCAGGCAGCCTCCCCTCCCTCCGCATCCCGGAGAGAGAAACCCGCCGTCCCTCCTCCGCGGTGGCAGCTTCAACCCCCCTCCTGCTCCTGCTGCTGCTGCTGCTGCTGCTGCTGCTGGAAATTTTTCCCTATTTCCTCCTCGGAGCGAAGGACTTTGAAAGGCAGGGCTGGATGCGGACCCACCCCCAGCAGCCCTGCCCGCCCTGCCTGGGGCAGCCCCCAGCCCTGCCCTGACTGCCCCCTGTGCTGCCCTGGACAGTCCCCACTGATGCTCTGCCTGCCCTCAGCCGTGGCTCGTCGCATCCTCCCAGCCAGGCCAAGCCCGTCCCCACTTGTGAGTGAGCCCTGCGAGAGGTAGCGAGAAGAGAAGCAAGAAGGGGGGTGTCTTGCTGTGTCTGTCATTGTGCCCCACTGTTGCCCATGGTTGCTATGGGGAGGTAGGAGCATCCCAAGGAGCCTTAGGTTGTGGTTCACTCCCCAGTCGCATCACCAGTGTTGTGGTGTTCGCAAAGGACAGTGCAGGCAACGGGGTGACAAACAAGGGGCATTTGGGGCCCTCCTGGGAACTGACCCCACATCTGGCTATGTGCAGGTCAGCTCCTTGAACCCACAGAGCCTCCTGTTCTGCAAGGGAAAGTTCATCAGTGTTGGGGAGATCCTACAGAAAGCCAGCAGCCTGGCACAAAATGAGTTGCTTACACCTCAGGCTGGCCTAAGTGTCCTTCCTGGGGGCAATTCCCCTTTCACCATGCCTGAATGAGTCCTCCACCCACTGCTGGCTCCAGCAAGGAGCAGATGAACCCATTGTCCCACCCTCCAGGCAAAATTCTGTCTTTAAGAACTTAAAATAGGACCAAAGCTAATAACTCACACACTGGTAGGTGCAAATACCCAGTGACCTTCAGTAGCCCTCTACACCCATATCCTCAGGTGCAATAAGAACCTTGGAGAAGCAGAGCCATTATACTAGCTCCTGCACCCTCTTATATCTTCTCTGTCTTATCTTGTCAGCTGTGCCTGTAATTTTTGTCACCACTGGCAAGACAGCAAGTCAGAATTTTACCTTTGGCTTTCAGTTGTTCTTTTCATCCTCTCACTCCTTTCATTATTTTTTTTTATTTAATTAAAAAAAAAAAACACCCAAACTCAAAAGATGTCTGCATCATCATGTCCTTCTGAGATGGGAAACTAAATTTCTCTGTTCAAGATGAGGTGTAAGATGTGGAAAACACCACAAAACTCTTTCGTAAAGCACGTTGTGATGAACTGACCAACCAAAACCACAGCTACTTGTTATTAGACTGGCAGCTGTTAGTGATATTACTTAGCTTTGGTTTCACTTTAAGAGCTTATTACCTACACATGGGATGAAAGGCATTTCCAAATATGGATTTGGTTTAGGAAAAACCCATGGTTTGTGTCCAGTAGCTAACTCTGATTGTCTGTCTCACCTCTTTTGATTTAAAATTCTTTAGAGAAGGGATAAAGTTGCATCTGGCCATATGTGGTACTTTCATGGGACTCAATTCTCCCAGCAGGGCTGCTGATATAAAATGAGCTCAATTTAATGTGTAGACAATCCACAGTGCTACTCTCTGATCAGGGCCAGAGCAGAGCAGTGGATGTGTACCAGTGGCATTTGGTTTGGCAGTGGCTGCAGGATGCAAGACTGATGCAAGTCAACAAGATGTCATAGCAAATGGACAGTGTGAGCAGAAGAGAATGCTCACACTATCCAACACAGGTTGGACAATAATTTGTTGTTTGCTGCAACAAAGGTTGCAGCAAACACAATCCCTGCTGTTGCTTTTCACCCTGCACACTGAAACGTAATCACTGCAATAGTAAGCAGTGGAACTCAGAGTTTAATTAGCTGTCAGCCATGAAGTTCTCCATAAAGCTCCCCCTCTCCCTCAGTTATGTTGCTGACCTACTTCCCGGCTCTTTCACTGAATATAGTACCAAACTCCTCTGGAACTCTAAGACATTAACTCTACTAATGGGGATCCACTGGTGAGCTTCTCTCTGAAGATCCAGCACATCCCCAGTTCACTTCTCTCTGCAGCTTGTGGTGTATGTTCCTGTCTCCCAGTGCCTCCTGCTGAAACCCTCAGAAAGCTTGCTTCAGGTGAGTGATTTCTGTGACCTTTGAGGGGAGCTGAAAGAAACAAGAGTTTCTCAGTGTATGTGGTGATGCTCATTAGTCCATATAAATAAACCCTTTTTATCACCCTGCCTTAATGGCACTGGGACAGAAAGGGTGAAGCAGAGATGCAGCATTATCCCATCTGCACCTGAGAGCAGCTTTCATATTGAAGTGACTGGTTAGGAGGGATATGACTTTGGAAGGCTGGGAGAAGGTGAAGACCACTCCCCAGTCCCTCACACCCATTTCCACGCACATTCAGACTTACATCTTTCACAGCCTCCAAGAGAAAGGTGAGGCTGGGCTCTGAAAGAAAGAGTGGAAGTCTGGGAGTAGGGAAGACAGTGAGCCCAAATGGTGAGAGGAGATACTGTGTTATAGGGCTGCTCCACACTGCAATGGCTGTGGTTCATATGGCTTTTTCTCAGGCAAGCTAGCTGAAGTGGGAGCTGTAACAGCACAGAGCTCTGCATGGGCTCTGAGATCTGCTGGTGAAGCTGAGCAAATGTTCCTGTATTCTGCTGGGTGCTCCAGGCAGAAATGCAACAAGACTGCTCATGTCCTGACACAGCAAGTTTGTTGTCGTGTGGGCATACCCATGCTTCATCATGACTGCAGCCTAAGCTATGGTGGGAGAGGCAGTGGTTTGCTCTGGTTGCTTTTCCTTACCTGTCTCTCTTTGCAGCCATGTAAGTGAACACCTACCATTGCAAACTCACTTACAACCACTAATTAGTAGTCTCACAATCATGGAGATTCTCATGCCAGTACTAACGAATGGTTCATTCATTCATTCATGCACACCCACAGCTTGCTATGACAGCAGCCTGCATCTCTCTGCAGTTGCTGGGGGAGGTTTTAGGGTATTGTCTACATATGCTGAGCAGAAAGACAATTCCTCCCTGCAAAGAATGGGGTTAGTGGACTGTGATGTCTCAAGCACTGGAAAGAATAGCGCAGGCCAGTTCTCTGCCCAGTGCCTTGTGAAAAAAAGATATTTGAGCTCCTGCACATTTTAGAGAAAGGGGAAAAGAAAAAACCCTCAGTATTTCTTGCTTAAAAATATCCTGCCTTATATTCCCTATAAGAGACAAGTGGTCAGGACAAGGTCAGTCTTCAGCTCAGCCACAGCATGTTCACTTCTGAGCAGCTGTGCCACCACTCTTTCTTGGCCTGTCTGGAACACATCCACCATGGGATGCTTTGGTTTCTGCTCTAGCTTCTGCAGGTTCAGATAATGCTGGAGGATAACCAGTGAATCCTCATTGGTTATTTATATCTGGTCATTGTTTTCCTTGAGTCCCTCAGGAGATGGCAAAGAGACCCTGCAGGAGCAGATGGGATGTCACCTCTGGCTTGCCACCCATCTGTCTTTGCTGCTCACTGCAGCAGACTTGAGGATGAGCCCACTGAACCTTCTCTGGCTCTCCTCTGCATGTTCTTGGCAGATACCCGAAGATCCCTGAGAGTGGTGTTTCTAAAAAAGATGCTCAAAAATATAGTTTCCAACAGTTTGAGCATTCTCTTTTACTGTCACCTTTGAAACTGCCTTTGCTCTTTGGAGAATAAATTTAGAAATGTGGTGGATGGAGTGGGACACAGCAGTGAATATGAAGGGCAATTCAGTGTGCTGGACAGCACACACGTCTTTTTAAGCTCTTCAGGCAGTGCCTCCTTAGTTGTTTCCAAGTAGCTGGTACAGTCTGAGTCCTGATGACCCCAGGAAGGTCTAAATGCATGACAGTTGTCCATTGGCCAGCCGGAAGTCTTGGGTGTGGAAGGTGTTTTCTATCCCTGTAAAACCGAGAGTAAAGCCTATACCCCAGGGAGACGGCAGTGCTCAATGGGATGTTTTGGCACACCAATGAAAAATCAGTAGCATAAGGTTTGCTCCCACTGCAATGCTTTGGAAGCCCAGAGAGGTAACTGAAGAAACCATGCTTATGCTGCTTTCGAGCTTTTTCCCAAGTACTTGCCCCACGCTACGTTTTATGCAGGTTTAAACAATAAATCCATAGCACTAATGGATGAGCATAGCGTTTAACAGCTTGTGAGAGAGTTTTCCTGGAAGAAGACTGGCATTGACTGGCCAATTTTGCAGAGCTTTGCTTGTCTGTGGCAGACAGAGAAGAGTATTTGCACTGGAAACCACCTGCCATGTGGGTGTTGAAAGCAGAGCTTGTTAGAGGGGCTGGGCATGAATTTAGGGAGCTTGGGAATGGGGATAGTTGCATGTATTTTGCAAACATTTACTGGACGAAAGAAGCCATATGCTCTTCAAATTCTGCTTCAGAATCTCACTTTTCTTTTGGAAAAACAACCAACCAACCAAACCTGCTTTCTGGTCATCAGGGATATACAGGGAAAATGCAATATATGTGTGCAGAATGACTTCAGTGCCTGGGCTTAATGTAAGAGATGTAAAAGGTGCAAACTGTCTTCTTGCTCTTCTCAAAGGAGTAGAAACTCAGCAGCCTTCTGACAGCTGTCATTTGTCTCAAGAGCAGTACATGTAATGTTGGCATCTCACTCCCATCCCATTTCACAGGCAAAAACCAGTTCCTAGCCTGTGTCACTGGAAAACGAAGGACCAGATGTCACCTGCTGAACTGCCTGTCCCTTAGCATCTTTTCCCACTAAAACCAACAAAGCTTTTTGCTGTTACAAAACTGCATAATACAGGAATTAAAAATGCAGGTGCAAGGTCAACTTAAATGCATTTCCCAGTGAAAGCAATAGACTAGGGACTTCACTGCTTCAAGATGAGTGTCCTGCAAGGGGCCATGGAGCTACAGTATGCCAGCCTGAGGGCACCACTACAACCG